ACAAACCCAAAAAGAAGTCAGGGAAAACGGGAGAAATGGGCGGGGAAAAGTCGACGAACAGCAAAGGAAATGAAGAAAAACTTGATTTATTTTTATGTGCTAAGCGATGCGGGAAGGAAAATGGAGTAGGGGTGGGTAAGTTGGAGGTGGGTTTTCCATTCATACAAATGCTACGTGCGTAATGACCAGGCACAAACACTCACCCACACACACACACACACTCGCACTTGAAGTTAAAGAAGTTCCACGTTGCGTATACGTAATCATATTCTTTCTTATTTATATTTTTGTTTTTGGCCCGCTTTGCTCCTGCTACTCCTGCTAAATTATACATCTGCATGCACATACATTTGTATATATATATAGTATATATATACCTGAGCAGGGTGGTTGCCTTCCGACTGCGTGGACAAGTGGCCAAAAAATTGGTGCTCCCAAATCAATGGCGATGCCACAACAATGGGAGTTCAGCAAATGAATGGGTAAAGCCAAAATTTACAACAAATTCCAAAATTTGATTTGCATTCGCATTTAAATTCATCAATTTTTTGCCAGCTTATGAAATAAACAGAAAGCTTGATAACAAACAATGTTATAATATTATTAAAGCTAAAACCATCAAATTTATAAAGAAAGCATTATTTTACAACATTATATTTATATGTTAATGTTTTTTTTTCCAAAATTATTACAATCAAATTTACAAAGATACTATATTTGACTTTAAATAAATAACATAATTATTATATCCAACATTATATAAAACATACAAATTCTGTAGTTTGTACTTAGTTTTGTTGAAAACCATTAAAACATCTAGGTATAATATTAAATAATTTACGAAATAAATAATTTTAAATAATTAAGAAACTGCATAAATACTTGATTTGTCTGTACTCTGTTGAATGATAGTACCAATTGATTTAAAATAGTAACCAGAGGAATGCAATGATTGCTTGGCCACTTAACAACCGTAAATGTTTGCCTAAATCTGCAGACAATTAGAGAATTGCATTCTGGCAGCGACCAAAAGTTGTGGCCAGGTAAGCCGGGTAAATAAGGTAAAATACTTCCCTTCAGCCATGTTTACAATTCATTTTAATAAAGTCAAAAAAGCGACCGTGTGTGCGAATGAAAGGGCCATACAAGGGGCGAGTGAGATGGAGAGACGTGTGTGTGTGTATGTGAGTCTGTGTCTGTGTGTGCGCCAGGTGAGCCCGAAGGGAACATAATAAAAATATGAAAATCAAGTGAAATCATTTCCATTCAAATTCAAATGGCAAGCCAGAACGCCAAAGGAAGCTTCATGGCCAAAAGGGGGCGAAGTGTCGACACAGGGAGGGGGCGTGGCATTCTGGGGAACTGTGCCAGCTGAAAACTGATATTCAATTCAATCAGTTCTGCCTGAGACCTCAGGGAAGCGGCTAAAGCACCGACGCTGGAGGTAAGAAAAAGGGACTGCACTCTAAAAAAAAAGATTTGCAAAATTTGAATTAATAATTTTCAAAATATATGTAAATAAAAAATTTAAAATTTGGATAAGCTGCCTTAAATACCTTACCAATTTAAATTGGTTAGATATTAAAAGATATCAAATATTATTCAGCATATGAAACTAAAGAATTCGCGTTTTAGTATATTTCTCTGTACAGATGTTAATAAGATGCAAAAGGATGTATTTTTTTTATAATTTGAGCTTTTTAAAAAAGATTAGGTTAACATATTTGAAAAGCGAACAATATGTGAATATAAACCAATTTTATTAAATTTAAAATAATAATATTATTTTTATTATTAGAATTCGCATTTCAAAAATCATTCCTAAATAAAGTTATCTCTTATGGTACCAAAATTCTTGATTTTGTTCGCTGTGTTGGCGGTAGAATGGTTCCAAGTTCCAAATGTGGTTAGTTCCTAATGTGACGCCCTTGCAGACGTGTGTGTGTGTGTATGGGTGTGTGTCAATGGCTGGAACTGATTCTGATTGAGAATCCTTCCTCGTCCGGACCTCTCGATTGATGGAGTTAAGCCACAGGAAATCGGCTGCAAAAGAAGCCGTACACTCTCGCACGGCCAGATATTTTATGGGCGCGACGGCGGCCTTCACCTACACTTCACCACCTGTTATACATAACCAACCACCCACCCACCCATCCACCCGTCCACCCAATCTTCCTTTTTCGCTGGCAACTTTGCGCCTCCATTCACTTTAACAATAAATTTCAGCAAATAAATCAAAATGTAACAGAAGCCGTGTGGAATTTTCAAGTGGCAGGTGCCACAGCACAGCATCCCACCCTGCACCACTTTGCACCACCCTCAAGCAGCCCCTAAAAAGCGCGCAAGCGGAGAGAGCTCAAAGTTTTTGATTTTTGTGCAAAAAAAAAAAAAATAAAATAAAAAAACAAAATTGTTTACCAAGGCCTGGGAATCGAATAGGAAGGGGGCGGGCGGGCTTAATGAAAAAATCGGGCTACAAATAAATGGGGGGAATTTTCACCGTGGGGAGTATTCGGTACAGCTCTATTGAAAACACTTTATTTTCATACTTTGGGCTGAAAACCTATCTTTGGCACTTTGAAATTTGGCTACAAATAATTGGACCATGGAATGTTAAATCTTTTCAAACTCAACTCACTAATTTAACATAGCAAATTAATATATAATTTAAATCTTATTTTTATTTTAACTAAGGAAACGAATAATTGACAGAAAATTTAAAATCAAATTTTGAACATTTATTAAATGGCTTAACAACAAATTTATAGAGGTTTGCCTTTTTTGAAATGCATTTTAAGCCATCGGAAACTTAAAAACAGCCTACATGAAATAGTTTAAATCAAATTGGCCAGCACTAAATACAATTATTTGAATGCAGATTAGTTGAGCATTAGCAACAGCAGCTTTTCGAGTTATGTTGTTTGCTGCTTTGAAATCGGTTTAAATTCGGTAGTTAAAGAAGAAAAAAAAAACAATTCATTTAAACCGCTGATTCGCATTAAAACCTGGTTTAATGTTTGACCAACTGTTTTTTCCCATTTAGTGATACGTTTTTCCACTCGTTAGCTTTATTCTGTTTGACTTTTAACTTGGCTCACATTTTCTCCCTACTTGTTTATTTATTTTAATTGGTTTATTTTTGTGCATTTTTGTTTCTTGATGTTTTAAAACAATCATGTCAACTTGTTCTAGCTTTTATCCTTTTTTGTGAAACTTTTACCCTTGTTGTTGGACACCTTTTTCAGGTTTTCAAGAATATTTTCCCTTTTTTTTTTGGAGGGCGGAAGGTCAGGAGGGTTGGCTGTTCATCAGGACATCAGCAAGCAAATGATGTTAAATCGCACGGAAAGTCACAGCGTGAATCCTGTCCAGCAGGACTTTCCCGCGGAGAAGTCGTCGTTCGTGCCATTGAAGATGCCACACTGTCATTGATGCGTGTGTGGGTGGGTGGGTTGCTTTAGTTGGGTGGTTTACCCCCCACAGGACCTACCACCACCCCCTCGTCGTCCTTGGCTCATTATAAACGGCGGCCACTGTTGCACGGACGTCGACGATGACGACGACGACGACGACGGCGACGTCGCTACCTGTTGGAAATGCAAACAACGCGGGCAGAGGTCCTTGAAGCGCCTGCGCTGGAAGCAAATCTCCACAAGGTCGTCCCGTTGGGTGGCCACCCCACAAAATGGGTGGCTGTGCTCACTGTTGCTCCTTTCATTCAAATCGTCAACGACTTCGTTCTGGAGACTTACGAATGCAACCAAAAGTAACGGTCAGTTTATTAGAAATTGCTAAGACCCTAAACTGAATGGGATTCTTTTACAATTCTACGAAGCAAAGTTATGCAAATCTTGCATCTAGGAAAAGTGCACTCCTTTATCCAATTCCTCGGAAATGGCTGCCTTTAACAAACAAAAAATTTCTGGTGTAAAGATTTTACAACCGAATTACACCCAAAAAAAGTTGGTCATAAAAACTAAACTACTGTTGCACGAAGTTTAAACTATTGGGTATGAAAATATTCTCAATAAGAGTAAGTATTAAATGAAGACCACGAAAGTATCAAACTAAAACTTATGTGGTTTAAATATAAGGCCCTAGACTACAAATCTTCGGTATAGAAATGAAACTAAAAAGTATATAGGATAGAATTAATACTAAAACTTAACTATCTTTTCTTTTTGAGTGTAGCTCTCAATGAGAATGAAAGCATTCATTTGCAGATGCAATTCTAAGAAATTGGCTTAAATTGTTACCCATTTTTATTGTGCTTTTGACTTGAGGGAAATCTGCCATTTGAAATGCCAATGGTGGAATTTATCCGATTCTGAGCCATGAACACTACCAGTTGGATGCCACTTTTCCAAGAAAACAACTTCCATTTGCATCTCTTCCAAGAACTGATTTTTCTACGAATCGAAAATGCAAGTTCGAAATATTGACAGCAAATCTGTTTAAATTTCTTAAAAAAAAACAATTTTTACGGAGATTTCAGTTTTATTTAGACAATAACAGTAAGTGTGTCATTTAATTTTATTTGGCAAATATCTTATCCATAAAAAGAAGAATTTTCAGTTGTTTTACTTTTCTTTAATCGCCTGACGTAATACATTTTCTTATCAAGCTTTTAAACAAACAAACAAAGAAGTTATACAAAAAGTATATAAAGATAATACTATAAAGAGTCTGACATTTATCTAGAGCTTTTAGTAGTTATCTTGATTTTGTGGAGCGTAAGCAATAAAAAGAATATAATTAAAAGTAAAAAAAAATGTTATAACAGAAAAACAATCTTATACAATTATTTAAATAAAATATGAATCACGGGGTTTCCTTGACAAAAGAAAACAAATATAAATTACAGAATAGCCTGGAGTTTTTAACAATTTGTTGCTGCTAAAGAAAAAAAATATATTAAATTATTGTATGAGGAAAAATATAATTTACAGAATTGACGGGAGATTTAGACACTTTGTAGCTGCTAAAAAAATGAAGTTATATTGTTGGTTGAAAAAATAAGTATTTAATCTATAATGTGAGCACAAATACAAGTCACAGAATTAACTGGAGATTTAAACAATTTGTAGCTGCTAAATTAATAAAGCTATACTTTTGTTTAAAAAAGAAAGTATTAAATCTATAGTATAAGGAAAAGGCCGCTTATGAGCCATACAAAACTGGAGACTAAAATTCCCGCCGAACCGGAAGTCAAGGGAACAGTGAAATTCGGATGCATATGATCCAAATTGTGGGTGCTGGGCAAATCCGTGAAGTAGTTGGCCCAAATGGCAAAGGTCAGCAGGTCGTTCTGCTGCTTCAATAGGTTTAAATTTACAAAAACGGGTTTATCGGGATTTGCGGACGCCTCGGGTGATTCCGTCCAATCGAATTCCGATACAGCAACGGGCAGGAATTGAGCATTCAATGTGCTGGGCATTATTAACCGACGGCCACGTGGAGCAGCTGGAAAATTGGCAGAAATATTTAGCTTAGTGAAGTGATGCCTATTGATGACATCTTCGAATTTGGGGAATATGTAGCCACAACTGGAGAGATGCTCATTGGTGCAGGCGAACAGAGCACAAGTGGCCTGCTCGCTGCGATCCACTCGAATGACCGTGGTCTCATTGCCCCAATAGGCGGCTATTCTATAGCGATAGGCTTTGGCCCCAATGGCGATGTCCTCGCTGGACTCCGTCAACTTCCGTGCGATGGCAAAGGTGCAACAGAAGCTGCCGTGGCACAGAGTACGCTCCAAACTGAGGAAATTCTCCTCGAGCAGCTCACTTTCGAAGATATCCACATTGTAGTCCTTGTAGGTGGCCACTCCCGTCACTCGGGCGGTTTTCAATTGGGGCGTGAACAGAGGCGTAAAACTGGGTACCAGTTGACCATGCTCCTTCTTCGGCACCTCCGCAATCAGTAGTTTCGTGGTTGGCTCCTCGAAAATCTCCGCGATCAGTCTGCCACCTCGACCGGCATATATCCCCGATCCTGTCGTCCGTCCACTGGGCGCACTGGCATCGGCGGCCAGCAGATTGACATCGTTGCCAAAGGCCCAGCCCTCTTGCAGTTGAATGGCGCCCAGAAATGGCAGTTCCGAAAACCAATAGGTGGGATACACGATATCGGTGATGTTCAGCTCCCTGACCAATTTCACAGCCGGCTCGTAGAACAACATATCGAAGCAGATGAAATGGCCAAAGGTTACCCCAAAATCAGTGGTAAATGTGGCTATATCGGGGGAGCGGAGCACCGCTGTGTTCACATACTCGTGTCGCCACAGATGGGTCTTCCGGTATCGCGAGATCACTCTGCCCCTGCGATCGAACACCACGTTCGTGTTGAAGTACAGCACTCCCGACGCAGGACATGGATTGAAGGTATCGGAGCCAGCTCCGTTGGCGCAGAGTTCCTTCTCCACCAGATTAATGACCACATAGACGGCATTGGATCGCGCCGAGCACGACAGTTCGATGAGGAAGAGCTCGTAGTCCGTCTGATAGCAGGGCGTCACATTCTCGGATTCGTGGGGCACAAAGGTGGCTGTGCTCCGATCGTTGAGGATATGCTCGGGGAACACAATGATGTCCACATCGCCGGCATCTTTGATGATCTGCTGGAAGGATTCCGATGCGAAAGTGGTACGATCCCTGGCATTATCGCCCTCCAGCTCTTTGTGTTCCACCACCGCTGCCCAATAAGTGGGATCACCAGGCTTCGAAAGCTAGGGGAAAAATATATTATCAGTATTTTATCAGTATCAGTATTTAAACTATTTTCCCCATTGGAAAAATAAATAAATAACTGCAAACATATATCACCTAGAAGGAATCTATACTAAGATTCTGAAATTTCGTATACGACAAGAAGATATCAATACTATAATTTAGAAATTAAGTATACGACTAGAAGAACCGTCATCATTAACGTTAAATATGTTCAAAATGTAAAGATCAAATTAATTATACTCAATAATAATGTAAAATAAAAACAATTTTTATTTTTTTATCACAACTAATGTTTAGAGTTTAGTAATCAAGTATACGTCATGTGGTCCAGCTTTGAAACTAAAAATGTATTTAAACAATATGTCGACTATGCTGACTTTTACCTTTTTTTTACTTATAATGAACAATAAACTTAAATAAAATACAAATATATGTTTTTCGATATTGGATATATTTACCTGTTGAGAGCTAGTGAAAAACACAATTAGGAGCAAAAAACACAATTGAATGGCCTTCATGGCGGGACCGTGACTAAAATCCAACTGCCAAGCCACTGTGATCTTGGCCAAAAACGAAGACTATGCATTAAGTGCAGGGCCAAAAACGAAATTGTTATACCTTCCATATAGACGAATTATTTTACGAGGCGGCTACGACCAGATTATGTATTTCGGCCGATAAGACCTGTGATTATATCTCTTATCTCATATGAATCATAAACGCCAATTATCAACGGGTTAATAGTCTCTTAAATTCAAATGTTCGGGGGTGCTGAAAAGACTATTTTAAATGAGATAGCAATTTACTACGGTATAATATTAATCTGACTTAAACAAAGAAAGATATGAGAAATATTCGCAAACAATAACAGATTATGGTGCCATTTCATCAGCCGACTTTTATAATTATTACTCTTTGAATAACTTCCCTTGTTTATTTTTAATTTTTAAGTTATTTTTGACGAAAATTTATCGCTTAGATTTAATTTAAATTAATTAATTATCAATTTTATTAATTTCTACAATTTTAATAACTCTTAATTTAACATTCTTGTGAACATAAAAAATACGTAGAGCATCAAGCGAAAAGTATATTACTCAGCATTTGAAAAAGAAGACTAAAGATTAGTTGTTTCTTAGGGTAGGATTTAAATTAACTTACTTAAGAGAGGTTATCAGCTGCAACATTCAAAAACGATATCGATTAGTGGAACAATCGAACTCGCCTTGAGCTTTAAGCTTCCGCACTAGTCACACTGCGACAGCTGTTGTTATAACGATGATGAGAGAGGAGAGAGCAAGAGATTCGTTTCAATCGACTTTTGTAGAGTTGGAAAAACATCGATGTCACCGCCAAGCATCGATATTTTGAAAGCATCGATGACATCGATGTTGGCATCGATGTATCTCCACCACTAACCTCTACTTCCCGCAACAAAAACAACACTTTCAGAACAACAACACAGACCGTAACTACAACAACGCAACGAGATTGTAATCAATTTGTTAACAGTTATTAGCGGGCTACCAAATAATAATAGCAGCAGTTCCAATGCGCCCAACCTACGGTAAAAAGCATTCGAAGGAGAGCACCTAGAAAGAGATAGAAAAACGGTGAAGGTCGCTGCAGAATGAGAAAGAGCGAAAGAGAGGGAGATAATTGATTCGCAGGTTAGTTGTTTTTGGTGTGTGTTGGTGAATATTCTATTAACCCCTATGTGCTTGTGTTGACATTCTGTTAACCCTGTGTGTTTGCGTGTTTATTCAGCCAGCAACTGATATAATCAATCTTTGATTACTACTTAAGTCTTGACGGCGAAGCAAAACAAATCGAGATCCGAACCGGATTAACTGGCATCTGGAATATCTCCCGCGGAACAGTATATCTCCCCTTGGGAAGGTAAGTTATACCGACTACGTTTGCCGCGTATTTCTTATCGGCAACGTGATAATCGACCGATTTGCCGATTAAATTTCAAATTTTAAAATTGGCAATTCATCATTAGTCATTTATACATAATTTATACTTATTTGCTTAGATTAGCATAGGTAATTTATGCTGATGTATTGTTTTTTTGTCTCTTAATTTTCGTACAATAATGTGCTTAGTACAGATCACTTTTAATCATACTACTTAATTTCATCACAGTCAAGAAATTTAAAATGGCAATTTAAAACGGAATCTTTATTAGTGAATAACCTGAATTCTCAGGCAAGTTGTGCATGAAAAATACAAATGACTCCAAAGATTGTATTTAGTGTATAAACAGGAGCTTTTAATGACCAGTGTACTCTAGATAACTAGTTCTAGATTATTAAATTCAATTTACACAATCAGAACAAAGTTTCGGGGCAAATCAAATTGTTTAGCCATGATGACAACATTCTTTGGCGAACTAAATATTTTTACACAGCAAAAGCAATGAAATTCACTTCCAACCTGTATTTCTCCTGCAAAACAACCGATAACGCAGAATTTTTGACATGCCAGATAAAATACAAAAACAAAAAAACCTCAACATCAATATTAAACAATATGATATATGTTACTTCGAGTATTTGTTTTCATAGCACTTGTGCTGCAGTGGCTTCTAGTATTACACGTTTTGGTGATTAAACCATTTTAGGACACTATAAAAAAAATCATAAAATATTAATGTCATACATATATCTTAACCTTCCTTAAAATAATCATTAAGAAAGCTATTTAGTTCCAAGCCGTAGCCATATGATACTTTTATTCGTTTGTTTAAAGCCAATAACAATGTTGATGATACTTTTAAGAACCCTAAACACTTAAAAAAACATAGAACTAGTTTAAAATTTTCATGCATGAGTACTCTACACAGTATATTATCATATTTTTATTATATGTTATTTAGAAGACTTTTTCAATTATTTTAATCTTTAAAATTAAAATTGTTTTATTGGCGTGATATAATTTATAAGATATAATACTGATATTTTAAGATATCTTATTATAAGACCATCAGTATGGATTTTCTTGTAATATTTTTAGTCATAACTTTGATAAATACCTTTTAGTAATCCCATAAATCTGTTCCTCTCAGATATGGCCTTGAATCTGAAGGCCCTTCTGGGCATGTTGTTCGTGTTCATCGGTTGCTGCAGCAACGTGGTGTTCCTGGAGCTGATAATCCAAATCGATCCGGGTGCGGGCAACCTGATCACCTTCGCCCAGTTCCTGTTCATCGCACTGGAGGGTCTGGTCTTCACCTCCAAGTTCTTTACGGTGCGTCCGAAGATTGCCCTGAAGGACTACGTCATATTGGTGGCCCTGTTCTTTGGAGCGAACGTGTGCAACAACTATGCGTTCAACTTCAACATACCCATGCCGCTGCACATGATCTTCCGCAGTGGATCACTGATGGCCAACATGATCATGGGCATTGTGCTGCTAAAGAAGCGCTACAACCTGCGTCAGTACAGTTCGGTGGCCATGATCACGGCGGGCATTATCCTCTGCACGCTGGTCTCCAGCGGCGATGTCAAGGATAACACACACCACAGCCTTAAGGTGGACACCTCCTACTCGGACTTCTTCTGGTGGTCGGTGGGCATTGGTCTGCTGACGATCGCCCTGCTGGTCACAGCCTATATGGGCATCTACCAGGAGGTGATCTACAAGAAGTACGGCAAACATCCCAGCGAGGCGTTGTTCTTCACGCACATGTTGCCGCTGCCGGGATTCCTGATTATGGCGGGCAACATAGTGCAGCACTTTGGCATTGCGTGGTCGTCGGAACCGGTGGCGGTGCCCCTACTCGGCGCCATTGGCCTGGAATGGAAGTTCCCGCTGATGCTGTTCTACCTGCTGTGCAACGTGGTCACCCAGTACGTATGCATCAGCGCCGTCTATGTGCTGACCACCGAATGTGCCTCGCTCACCGTCACCCTGGTGGTCACGTTGCGCAAGTTCGTCTCGCTGCTGTTCTCCATCATCTACTTCCGCAATCCCTTCACGCTCAACCATTGGCTGGGCACCATCCTGGTCTTTTTCGGCACCATACTGTTCGCCAATGTGATCAACCAGGTGAGAGACGCCTATCGGGCCAGGTGGAGCGGGAAGGGCCGCTTCGACACCGCTCCGGTGGCCAAGAAAGTGGAGTAATCTGTAATCCCCATCTCCGAGGGCTGTGTTGGATCATCCTGCTGCAGAGGCCATTAACCATTAGTACGTAGTCCTAGCGCCTTGTTTGTAAATAAAATACAATTAATTTCGGAATACGCTTAGTGTTAGATGCCTCTTTGTCTGTTTCGTTGGCCTTGATTGTCGCAAAATGTGTTTTTATGCGTGTTTTCATACATTTTCTATTGTTTTTTTTTTTTTACATAAATAAATTGTCCAAAATGTTGTATTATACAAAATGAAGAGCTTTGAGCTCAAAGCCTTATATTGTATTTATTTTTTAAATAAATTCTTGAAAGGTAAAATTCAACAAATCATTTTTGAAACAAAAAGGGAGGGATAACTAACCTTTTAATTTCCTTTTTTCCATGTTTGTAACCAATCCAAAACCTTTTCATACTTTTTAATTGCTTTGTCCTTATCATAGTTACAGAAATAAATAAGTGACTCAAGCATCTTGAATCCAAGACATAAGATATGAAATTTTTGGGTCTTGAGAGTTAAAACTTATTAGTCAGCCTGCCAAAATTTCCAAGAAAGTTTCCGAAATCGAGGTTACTCTTCTATTTCCGCCCACGTTCAAAGATATATGTTGTTACGTTTGTATAATATCAAAGCCATACATACAATCATAGTGTTATCTCGCACTGTGTGAGTTTATATTATTTGATCAGTTGTTTTTCGGTGAAGGATTTCGGTAGATAGCTATTTTAGACAGACTTGCGCACGTTTATGTGTAAGAAAAACAAACTTTTATTGCCACATTCTTGTATAAGTATGTATTTGTATATAGGTAATATATATATGTATATTCAATGAGTTAATACTTATGAAAGGGATTTTTTCGGGGAAATTGTGTTATCGGGCTCCAACTTCACACACTACAATATCGTACATAACATTCGCTTGTGTTTGCTACTTTTTTGTTTAATTTAAATGCACAGGTAAGTACAGGAATATCAGGAATCAAAGAACAGAAGGCGCGAGAGCAAAAAAAAATATATATATATTAAATTATCAAAACGAAACTCATGATGGATAGTTTGGACAGGCTGATTGGAGAGGCAGCTGGCTGAGTGATCGAATCACTGGCTTTCTTACTGCTCATCCTTGTCCTTGGCACCGTGCTTGAGAATGCGCGTGAACTCCAGATAGTCAAATAGGCCGTTTTTAATGGGCGCCTCCCGATACATCTCGTCCACCTGGGGGTAAAAAGGGGAAATATTATATTATAATGGCAAAATCGAATATCTAAATATTTAAGTAAGATTTAAAGGCCATCCATTCCATCATTTTATTCTACTCTCTTATTATACTACTAATACAGATTTGTATACTACTAATATTACTCAAAGTAAAGCCACACTTTATAAAAGGTTCAACGTTCTCATCAAAGTATTTAAATGTCAACAATTACTTTTAAACTATCAAGAAAAATTTAGCAAATAGGTAAACACAAACATTTTTGAATAAATAAGTAAGAGGAGCAGCTAAAAGTTCAACGACTATGCAAATAAACTCAGCAAATAAAGAATTTTCAGATTGTAGAAGCCAATTTCTGACTTTAAAAGGTAGTTCTTATAATTCTACATTTTTAAATAGAATACCTCCTTAAAGTTAATGACAACTAACAGAAGTCAAACAGTCCGGGTAATTAAACACCCTGGCTATTACTATTTTGTCTTCATAATTTGAAACCACAAGTTATATGCTATAGCTTTCCATCTGATAATGCTATATTGGAATATAATAACTAGTTTAAAGAAACTTAAGTGCCGTCGTTGTGTGATTAAAGATCTATTTAGTACAACTTATAAACCCTTTAAAACTTACATCCTCATCTGTGAAACGGTCGCCCATGGTGGTCAGCAGCTCCCTAAGCCGATCCTCGGGCAGCACGCCCATGTTCTCCTCGTCGAAGCAGCCGAAGGCGTTCTTAATCACATCCTCGGGATCGGTGCCCTGCAGCCGCTCCCCGAAGAGCGTGAGGAACATGGTGAAGTTGATGGGTCCGGGCGCCTCGTTCATCATGCCATCGAGGTAGTCGTCCGTGGGGTTCTTGCCCAGCGAGGCCAGCATATCGTGCAGATCCTCCTTCTCCACAAAGCCATCGCGATTCTGGTCGATCATGTTAAAGGCCTCCTTAAATTCGGCGATCTGCGCCTGGTCGAACATGGCGAAGACATTGGAGGTGGCGCGTTGGGCGCGTTTCTTGGTGGTGGCGCGACGTCCGGCGGTCTTGCGGGATGACATGATTGGGGCTGGCTTATTGGACGATGGATCTAGTAAAGCTAAATGGAGCTAGATGGCGGAGCCGGCGGAGCTGGTGGAATCGCGCTGAAGTGATGTGTGTGCGGCGTGGATCTGAAAGACGAACAGAAAAAGTGACGACTCACATTAGCATTTCGTTGGCCGGGTATGTATTTATGGCTATATATAGACATATTGCAGCGAATTCCGCTGAAACCGATTTTCAATGCTCCCCAAACAAACTGTGTCAACACACAGTAAGTGCTCTATACAATGAAATCATCGAGAAATTTAGATTAAAGATAAATTGGCAAGATAAAGATAAACTAAAATATAATGGTTGCATCAAATTTCAGGATGGCATTTTTCTTTTGAGTAAAATCATAGATAAAGATGTTTTAAAAAAAAATGTTGGTACTCAATGGAGGTTTTACTACCCCTTCGATGTATGACCCATGCTTATCACACTTTAAAACTGGAAGTAAACTTATTTTCCAGTGGATCAGAGTTCACCTTATCGAATGTCCACTGTGTGCGACTCATGCACTCACACATGCGCAGTTTTTCTGAGTCACTCGCGCAAATGAAAATGACACGTATGGGAGTTTGGCTCTCTCTCAGCTTATTTCTCTTTCTGTATGGGTGTTTATCAATGCTGTTGAACTGCGGTTTACAAAAACAATCCTCACAAATTTGGCTCATTGAAAACATTCTCACACAAACACACATACGCCGTTTCAATTAAAGGCCTTAAAAGGCTTGAAAACAACAGCAACTGAAGCCCCCAATTCCACTCGAAAACTTAAGTTATGCCAAATGTTGACTTATCACTTTTAGATTTACATTCAAATGGTTTCATTTACCACGAAAACAATTGTTTTTTTTTGCGCGCTGCCGACGCTGACTCATACACACACACTCAAACACGCACACCCACAAAGGGCAGCGCCCTTAAAGTTCTTCCTTTTTTGTATTTCTCTTGATTCCGTTTGATTTGATTCATACTCACAGCTGCCGAATGTCGAGTGTTTAATACTTTCCAAGTTTCGTTAATGCAACTTACGAGCAGCTGCACTTTTGTCTTTTATAAAAACCTTTTTTTTGTTCGAAGATTCGATGGGCAAGTGTGACCGACAGCTGACGAATTAAAAAATACCACGAACTGTGCCGGATAATACTGAAAAAATATTCCAAAAGGCCCATCTGGTTCTGGACTTTGCTAACTGGCCTAGAACTTGGATATTCGTTTAGTCAAGACTCAATCCCTTTTTTTCATAAAGTTAATAAATAACTAGATAATAATAATTTTGCTAAAGTTATTATAAAATTGGCTAGAAGTTTGCAAGTAAATAATAAGTAATTTTTTGTCAGTTTAAATCAAAGTTGTCGGGTTTTCCTTATTTCGTTTGATATAGAAGCATAATCAAAATTAAACGAGTATTAGAGAGTTTTATTAACAGGACCTAGTGGAATAAGTGTACTGACTAGGACATTTGTCTTTTATAAAGTTAATCTTACCGAACCGTGCTTTCTTTCTTTTGAATTAGGAAATTTGAGAGCAAAGTTGTTCTTATAAACACCAAAAAACTTGTCCAGGAATGGCTTTCGGCAATGGCAGACATTTGAATTGCCCGCGCTCTTATCAGAGTTTAATAGAAAATCGGTATTTTGTATTAGTTTTTCTTGGGAAAACCCTCCCTTCTAGTGAATTTCAACACGCGCGATCTGGCAACACTGGTCGAAGGAAGGTGTTTGGAAATGTTCGATATTTTGTGGAAATTCTGAGACCTGAATGAAAAGAGCCATGCTTTAGGGCGTTAATAAAAGGATTTCCCAGCACACCAGCTCCTTGGCAGCGCGTGAAAATCGAGTCGAGTGAAAATCGAATCAGTTGACACAATCCAATTAAATTCGAACTGCGATTTGCAGGAGAAGATGTGTCTATACCACATATCTGTGTATCTGTGTGCGAGGTGGCCTCTGGCTGTGTGCGTGTGGGTGTGAGTGAGTGTTAGTGTGTGTGTGTGTGGGCACACTGGAAAGAATCAATAAAGGATGTGCTGCGGATTGCTGAGCGAGAAAAAAGGACGAAAAGTGCTTGCCAGAGCGAATTACAGTTAACTTTTGGCACGAATAACGGTTAAACAAAGCCCAGCGAGAGAACATTTCAAAACAAAACGAACGAGTGTGTTAATTAGCAAATTAGCGAGTGGGTGGCCGCAGGATTTTCCACAGGACCCTCCTCCATATATTTTGGATTCCTGCACATTGACAAGATGATGATGAGATACTGCCTGATAATTGCATTGCAGCTGTCTCTGGCATGTGAGTATTAAACAAGAACAAATAAAAACAAATGGAGGGGGTGGATGATAAAGAGAGGGGGTGGAGTGGCAAGGGGTGGAGTGAAAGAGGAGGAGCAGGTGGCCACCGCCTTGGAAATACCCACCAGCCCACTTTAATCCCAATGCAAACTAACTAATTGCTTATTTTACCTACCCAAAAACCTTTGGAAAATCCCCACCCAATCCCCACCAGACTCCGTGGAGGTGCACTTCGAGGCACCGGACAGCGGTTTCTTCCTGAAGCACGCCCGCCAACCACCTGTGACGCCGGAGATCGCCAATGTGCAGACATCGTCGGCGGTGCCGCCACTCCGCCAAAGATCCTCCTACGATTCCGTGTTATCCCTGGACCGATTCACCGTGGTGGAGACCACCCAGCCGGTGTCCATACGCGCCAGCTACGGACCCTTCTCCACCAAGCAGACGGTGCCAGCCCGCTACATTGTGCCGGACACAATGGACAGCCAGTCGGGCGATTACATGAGCGTGAGTAGACCACCCCGAATCCTGTCCAGCAATGCCATCCATTTTATATTACTTTATCCCACCACCCACAGAATGCCACGCTACTCGAGCTCCAGCAGCCCAACATGCACCTGGACATCTCGGCCCATTTGGTGCGCTCCAGCGTCTCGCAGGATGCCCCCGTGCTGCGTGTGCTGTTCCATGCCGGAGCCGATCCTGGTGGCCACTTGCAGCGCCAAAAGGTCTGCGTACTGCTGCACGTGGCCATGGGCTCGGAGCAGCCGCTCAAGGGTCGCTGCATGCCAGAGGGCGAGGACGGTGTGTGCGTGGCCGAGGTGGTGGTCCCACTGGGCTGGTGGCCCCAACTGCCGGCGCCCACCCAAGATGGCAGTGGTCAGGCCGCACCCAAGGTGCCGCAGCGCTACGCCCAGGTGTCGTACAGTGTGTTCGAGCCACCGCTGCGGAATCCCGAGCAATGTGAGCCCAAGGTGCAGATCCAACCGCTCACAACGTTCGCCCAGGTGCCACTGCTGGCCGCCAGGACACCATATCGCATGCTGCGCGCCGACGATGCCGTTACCTTCCTGCTGCCGCAGCACCCCCTCTATCCGCTGTCCCGCCTCCATGTCCCGGTCTTCCTGCATCAGTATCCCGACCAGCGGGTGGCCGCCTTCACGGTGCGAGCCCGCGTCAAGGCGGGCCTGAGGATACTGGGCGCCACCGCCTCCACCGATCAGTGGAGCGTCTCGGTGGAGAAGGAGAACCCCAAGCACACGACCGCCCGCGTGACTGCGTTCCGCAAGGAGGCGGAATCCAGTAGCCTGGAGAGCAGCGGCGGCAACTACACCAGCGAGGTCTTCGAGGTCTTCTCCTGGCTGCTCGAGGTGGCCGAGGACACCAACGACATTGTGGACGGCGGCAAGATCGTGTGGTCCGTGACCCATGTGTATGACACGCCCAAGGACAAGGACTCCGGCGAGCTGGTGATACCCGATGACAACAAGAAGCGACTGATCGCCAAGCTGGAGATCAACAAGGACGACATCCAGGCGGTGCTGCCGATGGCCAAGATCTGGGAGGTGATGAACACGGCGGTCCTGACGGGGCGACAGGTGGCCCAGGCCATGAAGGTGTTCATCGTGTCGCAGGCGGGCAAGGTGGCCGATGTGACGCTCCAGAGCTCCTGCCATGCCGAGGATGAGAGTGTGATCAAGGTGGGAGTTTTGGCCATCACTCAATGTCTCAATTAACGGACTAATCAATAAATCAATCCTTGCAGGTTTCCTCCTCCTGCAGCTCCGTTTATGTGGACGGTTCCGAGCAGCGCGGCTCCTCCAACGCCTCCGTCATCGTCAAGTATGGCACCTATGTGGGCGTGGCCAAGTTCATCGTCTGGATGCCCGAGTTCCCACTGGAGGTCTACATATCCGATTTCCGTCTCTCACAGATCAAGGGATGGAAAGTAACCGATGACAATCACTATCTGTGAGTCTTATTTCTCTTCTTTTTTTTGGATAAACTAAAATGGAGTTACACATTCATTAGCTTTTTTTTTTTGTTTTGTAACGAACTCAAGATGAGGTTCTTGGACTTATTTTTATTTATTTATTTATTTCGCCAACTATATTTAACAATATTCATACGCACAATATTGAAAAAATAATCGATCAATTTATTTTTGAGATCAGAATTATGTTAAATGGAAATTTGTTGCACTCACACAAGGCTCTATAAAGTGCCTCGTTTTGTGAGTTTCCCATTATTTTTATGGCTCTCACTATTTTTCAAAATTGTTTATGCCTCGTTTCTAAATTCACAAACTATAATTTATGGCTCATAAATTTAGAAACAATAATACTCACTGGCAATTAAAGTTTAAAAGTATTAACTCACCATAGAAAACTTTTGGGTAGAAACTAAATTTCATTGGATACACAGCAAATACAGTTTGTATTTTAAATGTATGTGCAATTCCTTTAATTGTTAAAAACAATAAATACTTCAATTGTTTACTGTAAGAAAAATTGACTAATGATTTGTTATTTAAATGTATGTATAGCTAAGTAATGTTCTAATTGATTGTATTGTATTATTTAGGGTTATTCTGTTTTTAAGAAACAATTAAAGTAATTTATTCTTCATTTAAAACTACAGACATAAATTTCACTATTTCCACACAATTAACCAAAAGTATGAAATATATCATCACTAAAGCTTATTATAACAAACTCTAAATTACATTTCATTTTTTTTAAGTTGGCTTTTATATTTCAATATAACTTATATTCTTGCTCTCCTTTACTTTGCAGACACAACAAGCAATCGCGACGAAGGAAGAAGAGGTCCTACGTTTGGGGCCAGCATGGAACCAACTACTATAATAATCTGGGAGCAGACAAGACGATTTGTCGAGCTCGCTATCAGCAGAGTCCCGTGGAGGTGTACGCCAAATTCCTGGCCGTGGATCAGGTGAGTCCTTGTGGGCCCCTTAAAACTCACTCTAGATTTTAATCCTTAATCCTTATTTTATTCAGAACTCTGGACGCACCAGCTACTTTATCTCGAGGCGAACAGGCCTGAGGGTGACGGATCTGGTGCAGCCACTGCTGCGAGTGGCCGATCCCAAGATTGCCTCGCTCAAGGGTCGCATCCTGCAGGGCAAGTCGATGGGGCGCACGGATGTGCAGGTTTTGTCACCCATCACGGGTCGCGTTATCGGCACCAAGGAGATCCGCGTGGGCAGCGACAAGGTCAACCTCTCCAAGCTCATCGTGCGCGTCATTTCGGGGCTTCAGCTCACCATCAGTCCGGACAACACCATTGAGAACGGCTACCTGGCAGAGACCTCCGTCACCCACAAACTGACCGCCCAATATCAGGAGGGACTGCTCGACATCGATCTGGAATTCTCCGATGGCTCCAAGACGCCGTTGCGGTAAGTACAACTTTGTTTACTTTGGCAATATAACAAAAATCACATGCAAATATATCTTAACAAATCATATTTTCTTAGCAAATTATTTATCAAATAGTTTTTAACTGATTGAAATCTTAGATATTTATTTTTATAATATAGTTATATATATACGCATGACAAAAACCTTATCAAAAAGAAACAATTAAATGGGAGAGATATAAATTAATAATTAAAATCTTAATAAATATGGAAATATTTCGAAAAATGTATATAAATTCTTTTATGTTAGAAGTAAAATGTTATTTGTTATGTAATACTTCCAAACTCTTTCGATAAGTAGTTTATTAATTTTATTATGACAAATATGCAAAAACCCTAAAAAAAAACAATATTTCAATGAATAATGCTGGTGTATTCTTGCAGTGACATTGCCGTGGAGGACTACTTCCTGCTGGTGGAGAGTCTGGACACCGAGGTGGTGGCCTTTGCGCCCATGCTGGCTTCCCACCATCCGCGCGTCATCGCCGTGGGCGAGGGCAATGGCAACCTGCTGCGCGTGACCCTTCTGCTGTCCGAGGAGTGTCGCCAGAGACGCGGCACCCTGAGCAGCTCCAAGCAGAACAAATCGAATGCAGCGCCGCTGGCCAGCGCACTGGCCTCCATCGAGGTGGACTTCAACAATGTGGATATCGTGAGCAAACAGGAGGCGATCCAGAACGATGGCACTGTGGGCAGGGAGAGGAAGAACTACAGGCAGACAGGCGATCTGGCTGACATAATAGGTGGGTGCGGGCTTTAGTTATTTACCCTGATCTCTTATTAACCCTTTTGCAAACCCATTTTCCATTTTCTTTTCAGTGGGCATTCCGTTGCGCGACTCTAGTCAGCTATATGAACCCACTGTTCAGGCGCGTCAGCATCGTGGCAGCATCCAGGCTGTCCACAAGGGTCATCATGGCAAGGGCCTCGCCGGCACTGGCAACATGTCCTCCATGGAACTGGGCATGTACGTTCTGCTCACGGCCTTCTGCTTTGCCATCATTGTGTTTGTCATCTCCTGCGTGGTGTACGCCTCCAAGTTCCGGCCGGCGATGATCGAGTCCGGCTTGGATCCGCTGTCGGCGGGCAAGGGCAGCGGTTCGGGCGGATCGGGTGGCTTCCGGGATGTGCGGCTGAAGGAGTCGACCACCAATGCCCACGATTGGGTCTGGCTGGGACGCTCCACCATCGATCGCCAGTCCATTGTGGCCGAAACGAATACGCATTTGAACCCACGCGGTAATTGTACTTCAATTTCTATTTATGTATTTACATACTTATTTGTATGCGTTTTGGAGTAGATTCTCGCATGCGCATCACCAGCAATCCCATTGTGAACTACGACAACGGACGACGAGTGAGCTCCTTTGACCAGCAGCCCAAGCTGCAGACGCACATTGTGCCGGCCTCCAATCTGAACAAGCAGCACGCCGACCAGTGAGTATTGTGTTTGGTTGGTTGTCACAACACCCTGCTTTCATTTCTCGATCCTTTTCAGCTATCTGGCCAACGAACGCAAGGATAATAATGCCTTGGACTACAAGCCGCCAGTGCCGCCGCACAGAAATGTGGGTGCTCGAGCCTGCCTGCCGGTTCAGCCTCTTCCCAGTTCAGGATCCGTAAAGGTAGGGAGGGTTATTGCTGGAAAAGCTCTGATCGAATGTATTTAACTGGGTGGCTTTTATTTGCCAGGATGCGCCCAACAAGCGTCACAGCCAGCTGTACAAACGTGAGCATTTACAGGGCAGCGACAACAATGCCAACCAACAGCCGCCGGCACAGCAGTTGAATCAGCAGCAGCCACCAGAGCGTCCACATCCGCTGGCCCATGGACATGCCCATCCGCAACAGCATCAACATCAACATCAGCAACAGCAACAGCATCAGCGCAGCCACAGCCACAGTCACAATTTCAGCCAGGAGCCACTCATCAAGGCGGCGCACAATAAGATCAAACAGCAGCAGCAGCAGCAGCAGCACGAGGAGCTGCACAACGCTGAGAAGCTGGTGGAGTACACGAATCCGCACCAGAAGAACGCCTTTCAGTTCGATTCGCTGACACCAAAGAGAGTTACCAAAGCAGCAGCAGCCGCAACAGCATCAGCAGCAGCATCAGCAGCAGTCGCGTCCTCGCCGGCAACGCCGTCCACAGCAGCAGTCGTCGTCCAGGGCAAAGCTAAGGGTAGGTTTATTTAACTGAAATGTGTAGGAAGAACCTGCTAACGATAGCTGTGTCTTCGATAGAAAACCACAGCATGGCCAGCAGCACTGGGGATGCGGCCAACTCGAATGGAACGGACGAGATCATGCGGCTGCCACCCAGCGCCGTCAGCCAGGAGCCCACCACGAAATCGTCGCGTGTCAAGCGCGCCACCGTGGTGGGCAATCCCATGTTCTCGGCCACCGTGGATGAGTCCGTCGCCCCCGGCGAGCGGCTTGGACTGGATGATCTCGACATGGACTACGAGCAGATCATGCACTACTTTGACAACCTAAAGGTGAGTTTATTAGGCGGTTTTTATCGAAAATTTGAGTTTATAATATTATGTACAAATCAAAGTCGTAAAATGGAGCTTAAGAACTCGCGTATGTAAATTGACTTTTTAATAGATACTCAAATGAAAGAAAGTTTTGTTATATTTATTAAAAATAAAGGGAGTAGGAATTCATTCCTAAGCTTAAAATTTTAAACTAATTTCGTAAATGATAATTATGAAGCTTAATAATTTGTGTAAATAATAAGTACTTTTAAATAGATACTCAGATAAAAGATTGTAAAAGTTACATCTAACTATTATAATTTTAAATCAATTAATTAAATTAAGCTTAAGAAATCGCGTATTTAAATGGATTTTTGAATAGTTACTCGGATGAGAGATTGAATATTATTAAAAATATAATAATATAAAATTATTTATTTAATTAATTTAAAATTATTTCCATGTTATTTGTAAATCTAATCAACCATTTCTATCTGATAGGAGTCAAATGCCTGAGTACAGGAGATCATTGCTAAAATTCGCGAGATATTGTCCACGTTCCATCACCGATATCAGACGGTTGCCACGCCCCTGACCTCGCCCACTCGCAAGCAGATGCAGCTGCTCGACGAGCTGGTCGCCGGAGTGACAACGGCCACGGGAATCACCGCACTCAAACCAACATTAGTGGCCCTGGTCGATGAAGATTCTAAGGATGAGGATGAGAATGAGGATAAGAACGTGAACGTGGATGAGGATGAGGATGAGGAAGCTGCCGAAGCATTCGATGCCTACGATGGAGCGTTGGACATCGAGAGCAGGCAGTTCTAGACCGTCAACCTGGCACAGATCTAAACGCAATTCTAGCAATAACCCCCAGTACTCAATGCAAAAAGAAAACGAAAGATGAAAACCTTTAGGCCGCTGCTCCACCCACTCCAAAAAACCAATCCGTGCTGAGATCAAGGAATCGGATGTCCGGCATGTTGTAGGCAAGCAAAGGGATACAAGTCGAAGGAGAAACATATTTATTGCTAGGCTAAGTTCATATTAATGCATACACCTATAGGCATATGTAATCGTGGAGATAATCCAAAAGTATCTCGAGGAGCGCGTGCCTGACACAATCGGAATCGACGGGCAACCCTATATAGTATACAACTATCTATATCTCTGTAACTGTAACTGTAACGATAACTGTATCTGTATCTGTATCTGTATCAGTATCTGCATAAGTACTATGGTGTTAGTTAAGGATCAGCCATCTAAAGCATAGCTTAGTCCATATACATTTTTTTCCATTCTCTTCGCTTCACACACACATACACACACACACACACACACACACGCATGTCCCATCCGTCTGATTCGATTCTTCTACTTTTCTATATATTCAACGATCTCGGCCCGATCTTGCATATCCTATATCTTCTCTCTGTTGTATCTGTGTGTCTGTGTGACTGACTGTCTATCTTTTTGTGTGTGTTTGTTGTGTGTGTGTGTGTGCGTGTAAGTGCGATGGGGAGTACGTGAATGTGAGGGAGATAGCGACAGAGAGAAATAGAGAAAAAAAGAGGAGAGTTTCCAAAATGTGCCGGGCACCGCTCCCAAAAGTCGCTAGAAATTAAAAACTGAATAATATATATACATGCTATATACAAATATACATATATATAAAAATATATATATATATATATATTTATGATTATATAGCGCGCTCTTAAATTTAAAGAAAATCGAAAAGATAATCCAAAATGCTACATTATCTAACGGAAAACCGGTAACTTGAACAGAAAACGTCGCTTTATAAGTTGGTAATTGAAGCCTAATACCTAAAATAATACCAATCATAAATCTAAACTAGAAACGAAACGAAACGAAAAGAAACACACAAAAACACAACACAAATAATATATAGACGCTTATGAGCTTTATTTGATCGATTGCTTTGAAATGGAAGCTAAAAGCAGAACAAAACCCCAAAAAAACGTATCGAACCGAACCGAATCACAAAATAGTAAAGGGGGAAAATGTGTAACCAAATATTATATGATATTACCGAGCGATCCAAGCTTTATATAACAAATTTACCATATTTATAGCATACGTGCATATTTATTATCATTATTATTATTACGATTATTATTATTATCTTGTCTTATGATTATTATCATTATTGTATTTATTACCAACAAGGAAAGGAACAAGTGCAAAATTACTTCAAATTCAAAAGCCATACTTTGAATAGCGAAATTAGACACACACAGAGACACACTGTATAACACGCACGAATAAATCAAATGCCGCCAGGATACAGGATACGCCAAGTCCTTCCCCGCCTAAAATGGCCAATGTACCCCTATCTATATAGAGATATACTACGATATATATTCATATGTATATATATATATATATATCCATTCACTTGCGCGCTCTCTTTCTAAGTCGATCAACACACGTATCTATGTATCTGCATGTAACTGCATCTGTTCGTTTTCCTTATCGATATACGGTACGATATATATATATATATGTATATATATATATCAAAGCACCCAAATGCTACTTCATTCCATTAGCAAATCATACTTGTAGCCACTAATCGCGTATTTTGTCTTCTTTCGTTCTTGTGTAAGTCTGTTTACTTTCGTTTGTAAGATCTGTAACCACATCCATATCTACGCATAAGTGTCACATCCGATTAGTTTATATTTTAGAGGCCATCTAAGTATTATGTTCGTTTCTCACATTGTTTCATAATCATATGTTGTAAATTGTTCCGTCCAAAAAAAAAGAAATGAAAAACAAAAACAAAAGCAAAAGCAAAAAACAAAGCTGAATGAAACGATAAACAAAAGCAAAGCAAAGAAAACAAAGCAAACAAATGTAAAACGAAATTAAGCAATCTATAACTGATGATTTTTTTTTTGTAAAGCTAAAAGAAAAGCACGAAAAAGCATTGTTTGTAAACTAAATTTGTAGTCCTTGAAAAAAAAGAAGACTTTTGGACATTTATTGCACTGTATACTGTACATAACGTGTTGAGAGTGCAGTGCGTTTCGCAGCTATAAGGCATCGAAAAGTCTCCGCCGCAATATGATACAATTTTGTCAAATATCAAAAGCTTAACTAAATTCCGAAATATCAAAAGATTTTGCCTAAGAACTATAGTTATAATGATAATGATCGACTGGCCTTTTAGCTCGCAAACGCACTGTACATATTATATTGAACTTAAACTTGAGTTGCTCTCTATCGATCTAAGGACTGCAAAATCACACGCATACACGAAGAAGAACACACATCACAATCCTAACTGATTTCGACCTGTAATATCATTAGCATCTATAGCATAGAACTAGATTCAATTGTTTACCCCGCCTGGCTTTCTTTGTGCCCCCCCTTATATTATACTATAACTATAACATATCCCCGATCCTAGTCCGCACAACACAATATATACACACACACCCAAACACTCTCAGTCGAACTGCACTGCCATTGGTGAAAGTGAAAGTGAAAGTGAGATTTAGGCCTATTGAAGCTTCCAGCATTTACCAGTGCCATATGTATAACTTTATAGAACTTTACCCACGCGCCCCAAAAGTACGATGATCAATCGAATCCAGCGATTGATTTCGGCTAGCATCGAGCTTAGCACAAGCTTCCTTCCGAGCCTGCTTGTTAGACAGACAGTGAAAGAGTAAACGAGTTAAAGAGTAAAAGAGTAATACCAACAGCCTCCCTCCATTATAAACTTAGTCTTAGCTGATCTACAACTCAAAATATGAAGAGCCGGAGAACGTAGCAAAATTTCGATGGCGTAAGGCAAAAAAAAAAAAAAAAAAGAACAGAATTTTACACCTAGACAAATGCTTGGCTTCAATTCGCGGATCGGTTTAATCCTTCTTGTATGTGTTTAACGATTCCAATGCAAAGACTTTTATATACCTTTTTTTAACTTAATATATACAAAATCATATATATATATATTATATATTATTGTTTAGCATGTTTCGACCGTAATTTTAGGCGAAATTTAGATGTTCTCTAGTCAGTTCAAAGCGTTTTTTTTTTTGCGTTTTGTCACCCTCACCATACAAACACACACACACAAACATACACACCCACACACTCATAGTTTTATATAGTCAAGGCAAGCTTTTACCGCCCCCCTGCCACGCCCCCCAGAGCCCCCTTAAACCTAAGCTGTATGTAATATTTATGTAATATCGAACCACAACACAACAACAACAACAAAAAGAAAACCAAGAAAAAAAAAAAATTGCACTTAAAATATGAAAAATGATTAAAAATGAAACGAGAAACTTCTGATTTTTTTTGTCTGTCGAACCCATTGATTGAAACTTGGAAAATTATCGATTTATATAGTTAATAAATAATACTACCTAATATCGTGGCAAGTAAAAAGGCGCCGGCTAAGTGTAATGCAAATAAAAAATATACATATTAAATATAATCGAAAAATTATACAAAAGCAAAAAAGAAAAATGAAAATCACAAAAGTTGTTTATGCTGCTTTTTGCAAAAATGGAAATAAAAATAATAAAAAACAAAGAAAACGAAAAACTAGGCTATACTTAAATATACATGCAAATTAAATACGTATATGTTTAAATTGAATATATATGAGTGTGTACGCTTGGCACAAAAAGTAAACCAAAACCATAAACAATCCAAAAAAAAAAAAAACAAAAAGAAAAACAACAAAACTAATTACGCTAAGGAGCTAAAATTACGTGAAATTGGAAAAGTACTATACGAACATAATGTTTTGCCATGTAAGTTCTATGAATGTCCCACCTGCCTGATGTCCCCGCTTCGAGATAATGCCTAGATGCCCCGCCCCCCGCTAATTTGCACCAAACCCCCCTCCAAAAAGCAAAAGAATACTTCAAGCGATATATATATATTGTAATTATATATATCGATCGATCCGCCGCATAATTGTTAACATTTGTATCGGTTATTAAACGTAGTTGTTGTGTATGTATGTATGTAAGTATGTAAATGTGTGCTTACCCCCCAGAAGATAACGATTAACGGTAAACGGTAAAGATAATGACGTCGGAGCAGATAATACTCAATTTTCTTGTTATTGGCAGCGCATGTCTTTTAAGAGCTAGTGATATATAATTTATCCTCCCTTCCCTAAAAAAAAACATATGTTTTTTTTTTAAGCAAGCAAAACACACAAACACACACACACACACTCAGAGTGATCTCCACAAAATGCTTATATTACTATATAGTATAATACACAACCATATATAAACAGCGTATAAAGATTATAAAACAAAAAACATATATTATATATATATATAAATCAAATCATACCAATTGTATAACACTTTCGAGCAATGGAATCCAATCCCCCTTTCATCATATAGAAAAAATAGGATCTAAAAGAAGTACTATACACTTTTGCTTGCACCTCAGTTCCATGAATCAGTTAAAGCTGATCCTTCCGATCGTTAGGACCTTATATATCCTTGTTTCCCATCCAACCCAGAGCAACCAAAACGAGAAGAAACGAAACGAATCGCGAAACGAAATGAAATGAATTGAA